GTTCCCAGGTAATATACTGGATGCATTTCAATCAGAGGGCATTTCAGACATCTGGGAATGTTCCCTATTATTAAGGGTCATTCTTGTCATTGCACAAATGTAGGAGATTGGCTGAAATAAAGAAATATCATATCGTTGTCTCTATATGTTATGCATGATCCATTACAAAGAAAGTGGAGGTAAAATCTATCATGTCAGCATTACAAAAAATATACATCATTTCCCCTTATCACGTTGAACTGAATTGCATCAGTTTTCTATTAAATGAACTATTAGTTATTCCTAATTCCATTTTCAAATAACTGATTCCAATCCAGTCATTCCTAACAACAAGCCCATAGTAGCTGCAGCCAGTCCCAAAGTTAATAAATGGAGTTATTTGTGCACTGGCTCTCAACAGTTGCAAACTGAGGCCATCTGTTGGAATCGAACAGCATTGCAGTGAAGCCTTCAATGTTTCCTTGTACATGGATGTAATGACAATATTTGAATGAAGGGCTGCCATGATTCCCCACCCCCCCCTTAACCTATGTCCGCGGGGTGCATTTATTTGGAAAAGGGAAAAATGAGTGATTGGAAAATCTATTTGCGTTCTTATTTAAACAAAAGCAGTTTCCCACACATAACCATTACCAGGCCCAAGGAGAGAGGCAGAAACTCTTGGCAAGCAGACTTATCTTAGATGCAAATCATGGGAAATGCTTATACATTTCAGAGTAGCAGCCGTGTTAGTCTGTATCCGCAAAAAGAACAGGAGTACTTGTGGCTACAGCCCACTTCTTCGGATGCATATAGAATGGAACATATATTGAGGAGATATATATACACACATACAGAGAGCATGAACAGGTGGGAGTCGTCTTACCAACTCTGAGAGGCTGAGCCATTACAAACATTGAATCTATCTCCCCTTGTAAGTATTCTCACACTTCGTATCAAACTGTCTGTACTGGGCTATCTTGATTATCACTTCAAAAGTTTTTTTTCCTCTTACTTAATTGGCCTCTCAGAGTTGGTAAGACAACTCCCACCTGTTCATGCTCTCTGTATGTGTGTATATATATCTCCTCAATATATGTTCCATTCTATATGCATCCGAAGAAGTGGGCTGTAGCCCACGAAAGCTTATGCTCTAATAAATTTGTTAGTCTCTAAGGTGCCACAAGTACTCCTGTTCTTTTTGCTTATACATTGTACCTGATAAACATACTGGGTGTGTTGATACTACAGGGGAGTATCCAGTTTGGAAGTTCAAGGTTTTGCAGGGGATCCTCTCCCAGGAAGTTTGTTTTGACAACACCTAGTTCAATGGGCGGTACCCTAAAGACAAACATTTGCTTTCCAGAAGCGTTGTTGAGTCCCAAGGATAGGGTACCTCTGGCAGGGATGATTTAACAGCACCCAGACATGGGGAGAATCTCTCAGTGTCAATCCAAATTCCTCTGTAACCTGACGGTGCCCTTTTGAGAACAGCCTGACTAGAGTGGTGCAATACAGCAGAGCAGGGGTCGGCAACCTTTCAGAAGTGGTGTGCCAAGTCTTCATTTATTCACTCTAATTTAAGGTTTTGCGTGCCAGTAATACATGTTAACGTTTTTAGAAGGTCTCTTTCTATAAATCTTTAATATATAACTAAACTATTATTGTATGTAAAGTAAATAAGGTTTTTAAAATGTTTAAGAAGCTTCATTTAAAATTAAATTAAAATGCAGAGCTCCCTGACCGGTGGGCGGGACCTGGGCAGTGTGAGTGCCACTGAAAATCAGCTTGTGTGCCGCCTTTGGCACGCGTGCCATAGGTTGCCTACCCCTGCAGTAGAGAATCGGGCCCTTTGTGACTGATTTGCAAAGGCTAGGGTGCTGGACATCATTACGAGAGTGTAGGTAGATTCTTAAACCAAACGCTCAGATAGCAAGTTCTTTTCTTGTCTCCATTTGCAGCTTTATCATTTTGGGCCAAATGCTGATCTCAGTTACAGGGTGTAAATCCAGAGTAATGCCTTTGGCTTCAGTGGAGCTTATTTGGCATTGCACCTGTGTTCATGAGAGCTGAATCTGGCTATGTGAGTCTAGTTTGATCCCACTGTTTGATTATAGTCAAACTTTTCTACTCTCTATTTCTGAAGTTTGCTCTGTTCAGTTTAGCTTAGTTTCACTTACATTCCCCAGGTTCTCTGTTTCTCTCACGTGCTCAGACACTCTGACACCATATTCTTTTGCAAATCCAATAAAAGTTATCTTTTTCATACTCCAGAGCATGAATAGACACGTTGCTGGTAGCACATGGTAATAGTTAGATAGCAAAAGAGACAAGAAATGTTTGTGTCTGAAGAACATAAAAATTCAGAAGTCAAAAATCATTCCTCCGAGGAGTGATGTATTATTTAGACAATGGGTCTGATTTCCCCCTGCACTGAGATGCTTTGCATTGTCCCACCAACAGAAAGCAGCCCTAAGGCTGATGTAGCTAGCCAGGGAATGCTTGCTGTGATGTGTCAGAGCCACCTGTTGTGACATAGACCCAGTATATCTGATCCTTGGCTACCCTCTTCCCAGCCCTCTGCATAGCTTCCCAACCACTGAGAAGAGGGTGGACCCAATCATATTCTTTTCCCTGTGGGAAAAGGGGTGTGACCAAGGGAAAAGGGCATGCCTGGGGGCGGGCTCCCCATATTAGCTCCTTGGGGAAGTTGGCAGCTAGTGCAAATGATAGCAGCTGCCAGCATTTGGCCCTCTAATTGACACTGTGGGATGGGACTGGCCCACAGACAGCTGATGGTTGGAAGGTTACATAGGTGACTTAGAGCCAACTTTGTGTGCATGCACACCCACGTACACGCACCCTTCCTTTGTTGTTCTGTGTGCTACTCAGCTACAGACCATGACCCGAGCCACTGAATTCCCTTTCCAGGGGGTGAGGCTGACAGAACGGTTCTCCTGATCTGAGCAGCTTGTGCAGAGAGGCTTTGCATCATCAGTATCTCACAGAGCTGAGCGCACAAGTCCCTAGGCTCCGCCACGAGCAGGGAAGCACAGGAGTAGAAGCGTGGTCGGTGGGTGGGCTGATCCACCTACACAGCCCCACCCACCAGGGCAGGTGGAAGCTGAGGCAGCAGTAGTGTCTGCAGAGCGCCTGAGGTGGGGAAATTGGTTCCTCCCCCTTTCCCACAGAACTCCCCCACCTCACACAGCATGTCTGAGCGCAGGGACGAGGGGTTTGGCCCATGGTGAGTAGGAATCGGGCTTCAGTGGCTTGTCGATTTCTGTGGAACGCAGGGAGTTGACTCCTCGTCCAAATGCCATCTGTGTGAATCATGTGACTTTGTAAGCTGCTGCTTATGCTTGTCAGGGAAAGTGCCACGCTCTGCTATTTCTACTTGAGAGTTTTCCTCATCGTTTGTGTGTGATTAAGAATAGGGCGTATTTTCCCCATAGCCAAATACAGTTTGACTTGGCACAGTATTAAATGGGCACGTGTCCTCCTCTGCAGCTTCTGGTACAAAGCTGGACATTTCATACACAGGGAATCCCAAGTCCTGAGTGTTATACAAGTCTGGAAATTAAAAAACAAAAACTTAAGGCCAAGCGTAGGCATAACTTTCAAAAATAACTGGTGATTAAGAGGCCTGATTTTCAAACAACACTGAGCACCTGCACTCTGGAAAAAAAAAAGGCCCCTTAAAGGTGCCTTATGTTGGACAGGCCTAAACTATGGCATCCCAAATCATGAATCGTGCCCAGGATTTTCAAAAATAAGAGACTATATTTAGGCTGCTTAATCCACAGGCAGACAGATTTTCAGACCTGCAGAACATCCCAGTCTTCCTCCAACCGTGCTGTCACCTAGCCAGATCATGTGTTTGATAACATAGTCTTCCAACCAAAAATATCGAATCCCATGGTGAGCATGCCTGAAAACTCCTATAGCCCCCCTGAGGTAAACTAATTTAAAAGGTCAGAGGAGGGGAAAAGCAGAACATTCAGAACTCTGATACTACAGGTGAGGCATAAGATATTGTCCAGAAAGGGAACAGATTAGGCACCAAATGCATGAAAGAAAGATTAAGCTTCTTTTCAAGGCCTTCAGTTACTAATCTCACTTTACAGGAAGGTTTTAAATTAGTCAAAGGCTGCTGGAATTAATCACAACAAACACAGAATGATTGTGAAACACAGGAACAATAAGACCTCGATATCATCATCTTCATTTCAGCTGCTCTCTCTTTCTCGCTGGAATATTTTTAAGGCACCAGTTACTGAAGTGCCTACTGCCTTTCTCTCTTACTCTCTCAGGCCTGGTCTACACTACGACTTTAATTCGGATTTAGCTGCGTTAATCCGAATTAATCCTTAACCCGTCCACACAACGGAGCCAGTTACTTCGAATTAAAGGGCACTTAAAATGGATTTCTGTACTCCACCCCGACGAGCGGAGTAGCACCAAAATCGATTTTGTTAATTCGAATTAGGGGTAGTGTGGCCGCACACCACCGAATTAATGTGGTTAAAATTAATGGGGTAGTGTGGCCGCACACCACCGAATTAATGTGGTTAAAAACCGAATTAATGTGCTTAGTGTGGCCGCGCACAATCGAATTTATACAATCTGTTTCCCAAATTCGAATTATCTAAATTCGAATTAATCTCGTAGTGTAGACGTACCCTCAGACAAGTGTAATGGACATTTTAGGGATTTAAAAATTAGACTCCTGAACGCTTCCACATCATTAAAACAATGTAATAAATAGTAGTACTTGGGTAACGCCTTTCATCAGCTGATCTCCAAACACTTTGCCAAGGTAGCGACAGATTAGAATCTTCACTTTACAGGTGGGGAAACTGAGGCACAGGGTGGTGGGGCCACTTCCTCGATGACTACTTGAAGTCAGTCGCTTCTGAATGCTCACTCCAGCTATTTCAGTTTGCAATATGTTTGGTGTTGACCAAATGTTCTCCCTTATGCCAAATCTGTGTGTTCTCTTTTTTTTATTTTTTTGCAAGGATTATGAGTACCCTCTTCATTCTCACAGCGCCCACTACCAGAAGAATGACCGCTGCCCCCCGCCCCCGCAGACTTTACCAGAGCGAGCATGTGAGGTGCCCAGCTGCCGTTCAGATTCCGAATGTGAAAGACACAAGCGTTGTTGCTACAATGGGTGCATCTATGCCTGCTTAGAATCAGTACAGCCACCTCCAGGTATGGTGGGCTGTGAGATCAAACTGCTTCAGAAAGAAATGTCCACGATGTTGCCCAGATACAAATAGAAACAGCTGCAATAACAATAGTAGGCTGTAAAACGGGGGTATATCCCCATATATATTAGGTCTAACATAGGACTTGGGGTTTGAGCCTAAATGAAGAACTAAGCTCTGGTTCCATGGCGGCGAATAGTTGAAAGCTGCCCTTGTGTGATTTTTGGCTCATGAGAGAGGAAGTTACACACGATCTGTTGATCTTGCAAGATTTCCACCAACTTGAATGGCAGAAATCACGAGATCAGTTATTTTCACTGTATTATACATTAGCCCAAGTTCATGGCCACATGGCTGGTAATGAGAGAGAGTGGACAATTTTTGAATTTTCAAAATTTAAGTGAAAACTTTGAAAAAAAAATCGGAGACCATTTTTTTTGCTGGTCTTCAATCAGTTTGGAACTTTTCCAAAATTCAAAATTATGACAAAAAGTGTTTGGAAAAGGTTTTCTGCATTTTTCCACCAGTGCTGCTGGTAACCTTTTTATAGGAAAGACCAAACTGCTTTAACCAGCTACTTGCCAGAGTCAGAGATTTTGATTATTGTTGAGAGCTAGCTTCAGGACAGTCATTTTTCTTTTTATTCTAGTGGATACTCTTAATGTTGCAATGTATTTAGTCTCTGCCTGTAGATGAATTTATTTGAAAAGTTTGAGCAAAATCCTTTCTTCTGTTTCCAAGTTAAGGGAGAGTTCAAAGAGATCTTCTTTTCCATCTGTGAAATAATTCTAACACCATATTTTTAAAGAGACGGGTGGTCTACACTTACTGCAGCGTGTACAGATGCTGCACGCGCAGTTAGTACAGGTATAAATAGCAGCGTAGATGGTGAGGCACCGCTTAGGTAAGTAGAGTAGAGTAAGTGCCCTGCATGCCTGAACCCCCGGGGTACGTACCCTACATGGCTGTCTACTTACCCAAGCAGTACCTACCATGCCTACGTTGCTATTTTTAGCAGTATAGTGTCTTGCTGCCGGAGCCTTTCCCCTCTGCAGTGAAAGGCTCTGGCAGTGGTGAAAGGCTCCGTCAGCTCCCCACTGCCTCCTCCCTGCCAGAACCTTTCCCGTTGCCTCCCAGCTGCCAGAGACATTCGTTGCCATGTTGAGCTACACACTGCGGTGACGAGTATGGACACAGCCTGTCTGCCATGCAGTGGGTAGTGGCACATGTAATGCCTGTACTCTACACTCCGACATAAGTTTAGACATAGCCAAGGATACAGTAAAAATGGCTTGAAACTTGGCACGGACATCATTCTCATTGAACTATGACTTCGCTTGGGTTACACAGGGAGCAAGAAAGAAGCTTCTGAGCGTGCTCCGGGGGGTATTTGCTATGACTTTTAGCAGCACTCAATGACGCCCTATCCACTTTGGGGCCAGATCTTACAAGGTGCTGAGTCATGGCTCGATCCAAAGCCAACGGAAGTCAATGAGTGTCCTTCCGTTAACTTCAATGGATTTTGGATCAGGGTCTCAAAGGTTGCTCAGCATTTTGCAGGCTTAGGCCCTTTGTGCCGCCACGTTGCAGGGGTCCTTGATATGACTGCTGCAATCAGGCTGCGGCTGGGACATTTTGAATGATTGTGAATGTAAATACGTCACTGAAACACACACAGCAAAACCCTCCCTGAAGAACTCCACCTGCCTTATCATCAGGGACTGGAGAAAATCAGTGGCATGAAAATAATTGTGTGCCCTGTGACTGCTCATCCTTAACAATGTGGATTTTTTTAATAGTTTTAGACTGGTTGGTGCAGCCGAAACCACGTTGGCTTGGAGGAAACGGTTGGTTGTTAGACGGACCCGAGGAAGTTTTACAAGGTACCGTGAGAGCAACTCGGCATTTTAATCACCTGGGCATTGTGGGTTGTTGAATTCTGCAGGACGAAGGACACTGATTTGGAAAATAATATGCAAGTCAGATGCAGTTCAATGCCAATAAATCAGCCCTTTTTCGAGGGAGAATAGTAAGTACTGTGGTTTCAGTTCAGAGCCTCAGGCTCCTCTGAAACACCACTTAATCAACTTTGCAGACTCAGTGTTAGCGTGGAAAGAACACGTCCTGTAAACTCATTGTCCATTAAATGAGATACGGATGTACAGTGCAAAAGGCCAAATAATAACCGATTTGTGATTGTACCCCATGTGGAAAGGTGACTCCAGGGCCTGTGAAGTGAACAGTATTTCAAATCTAGAGCAAAAGATTTGTTTTTAATATACAGCTCTGCTGAAAGCCTCCTTGGTAGGGGCAAAATTCTCCTCTTCTGTCTGCCATGCAGATGCATAACCAGTGCTCATTAGTGTATGAAAATGTGATTAATGTCAGGGAAAGTGATGTGAACAGGATGAGCAAAGAATATACCCAATGCAACTTGTAGAAGAAGATTTTGCCCTCAGAGTCGGGTGTGACATGATACTATAACCTGACAATACAATATTGCATGTCATTCTGTATGCGTGGGTGTTTGGGTTAGATGGACGGGTGAATAAGGGAGAGCCATTTCCTTCCCAACTAAATAGAACTGATTTACATGACTCAATGGCGAGATTAGTTTGTGTGATGTATTTGGTGACAAACACGATCCACTCCCATTCAGGCTTACACAGTTTCATGTAGCCTTTATTTTGTACATTTTAAGACAGTTCTGTTGCCACCTATGAATGACCTGGGTGAGGTAATATCTTTTATTGGCTCAACTTCTGTTAGTGAGAGAGACAAGCTTTCAAGCCACACAGAGCTCTTATCTTATCTTGCCTCTCTCACCAACAGAAGTTGGTCCAATAAAAGATATTACCTGATTCCCCTTGTGTCTCTAACCTCCTGGGACTGACACAGCTACAACTACGCTGCATATACATGCAAAAACAGATAAGCCCAGGAAAGTAATTGATCAGGTTACCTCTCCTGGCACACTACCCATCAGTACCCAGCCTGGGCTGTGGAAGCTAATGATCCAACCAGTGATGAATCCTGGTCATGTGCTACCTGAGGAACATTGTGTATACGCAAAGAAGAAGGGACTAGGTGACTTCTTTTGCAAATCTCTGGCCTCTGCTATGTTCTTCCGCTGTGTCTTCTTCACTCTCTGGTTGTCTACCACTGTCTTTTATACCCTGTTCCGTGACTTTACTCAGACTCAGTTACCTCATCTGTGTACCTACCCATTCTAAACCCGACTAAACATTTTTATGCCTAAATCATAACTAACCAAAACGAATACATTTTTGCTTACCCTGTTAAAACTTTTTTTTGTCTAGTTCTATACTGATCTCCTTTATATTCGCTGCTGTTAATTTTACTGGCGCCATCTAGTTTTATCTTACTGGTTTGTTTTTGTGACCTTGGGTTTTTGCTTGTTAGCTTCTCTTGCAGGGCACCTGAAGTTAACAATTCCCTCATGACGATCTGTTCCACCCTGCTATTTCCATAGATAAGGCTTTACAAAGCAAGACACACAAACTAGGTTTCATGGTTTACATAACCCTGAAGCTGTTACAACTAAGCTCTGAAATGTTGCATCAGCAGGGACACACAGAAAAGCCAAAATTCCTTTATATTTTTCTACTCTCTATTTCTCCAACACTGTTTAATATATATATATTGGACTAACACAGTTCATTGCACTGTTTTCCAGCTGATGCTTGAGATGCACTTTATTCAAACAACGAGTTTTAGATTAATAGATTTCAAGGCCAGGAGGGACTATGGTAACCTTCTAGCCTGATCTCCTCTATAACACAGGCCAGAGGATTTCACACAGTAAATTCCTGCATCAAGCCCTTGAGCAAGTCATGCCCCGATCTGTGCCTCAGTTTCCCCATCTGTAAAATGGGGATAATGATACTGACCTCCTTTGTAAAGTGCTTTGAGATCTACTGATGAAAAGCTCTATGTAAGAGCTAGATGCTATTATCTTTATATCATTTGTATAGTATCAGCTTCCAGCCACTCGATTTTGTTAGGCTTGGTCTTCTAAATTAAAGACCCCTCTATTATCAGAAATATTTTCCCTGTGTAGGTACTTATAGATCATGGTCATGTCACCTCTTAAATAAAGATGAAATCACATCCCATTACCAATTCTCTGAGCCATGCAATCCCACCTCAGTTGAGGGAGATGGGATCTGATCACAGGCCTGGAAAGAAGGAACCTGAGAATTGTCATTCCCAACCCTGACACTGACACCCTTGGTGGCCTTAAGCCAGTCTCTTGGGACCTGATTTTCAGATTCCAGAAGTTGCTCATGCAGTTTCGTGTGTGTTTCGCATGCATGCACAGCTGAGCATGCAGAATGTAGGTTCCTAAAGTAAGCGCAGGCCTGAAATCTGAAAATCAGGCCTTTCACCTCATTGCCTCAATTTCTAGATGTATAAAGTGAGCATAAAATGATCTGCCTCGCAGGTTTGTTTAATTAATCAATGGTTCTAAAGTACTCAGACAGTCTTGCTTCAAGGCTTATTAGAGACCAGGATGAGACCTAAGAAATGGGGCAGATTATCCCACATCTGTCTACTGTGGGGGTCCTTCCACCTTCCTCTGAAATATCTGTGGCTGGTCACTATCAGAGACAGGATATATGGATGCCAGCTCTGATCCAGACTGGCAATTCCTAATGAGAAAAGTCTGCCTTCAACTCCACTGACTTCACTAGGGTTGTACAAGTGTCAGTAAAACATACCTCTCCTCCCCCCGTATTTATTTTTGACTCTTATTTTATTTGATCACAGCTGAATGGAGCAGTTAGCAAGAAGGGCTCCAGAAGTGAGTACCCTCAATCAAGGCATGGGCATTATCGGAGACTCTCCTGAAATTAAAATTCCAACAAATGAAAGCAAGAAAGTGTGGGGTGGTCTTGTGGTTAAAGTACAGAAACAGGCGTTAGAAGTCCCAGGTTCTGTTCCTAGCTCTGACACACACTTGCTGCATAACCTTGGCCATGTCACTTAACCTCTCTGTGCTTCAGTTTCCACATTTTACAGATGGGGATAATACTGGGTTACCCCACAGGAGTCATGTGTGAGAATCAATTCATTAGTTAATAGATGTAGAGCATCTTGAATATTTTGGAACCATTTTGCCTTGCTGTGCCCAGCAACCTCTGGGCACAGAAGGGGAGAACTACCAGGGAGTTGGTAACGGTTCCCTCATTCTTGACCCAATCCCGGGTGTTGCTTAAAGCAGCTTGATGGCTGCTCTAAACTGTGCCAGCTGGTAACAGTCCTGGAGAGGCCACCCACTGTTCAGAGCACGGCCAGCAACCCCTCTTTTCCACCAGTCTCCAGCCCCAGCACACACCCTGTAGAATGGGCCGCGGGAAGAACGGAAAGGCAGCTAGCTAGCTTGGTTCCACAGCTGCGGGGCACTCTCCCACATCAGGGACTCGCCAGTGAGCGGAAGCAGTCGTTCTCCCCTCTCTTTGAGTGGAGTAAAGCAGACAGCACGTTGTGTCAAGCTCTCTATACGTGTTAAATATTCCGTATGATTGTTTGTAAAACACTTTGAGCTCTTGGTCTGGGAGGGGCTACGGAAGAACACAGCAGGATTCTCCTTCTCCGGTTCGCCCAGCGTAATCAGATCTAGGTTTCTGACACGCAGGCTTGTTTTCCAGCTGAGGCCTGCAGCACCACTGAGGATGGGGATGAGCCACTGCATTGCCCTACAGGATATGAATGCCACATCATCAATCCTGGCAACACAGCCGAAGGGATCCCCAACAGGGGTCAGTGCATCAAGCTACGTGGAAATCCCGGTCAGTGCATTCAAAAACATCCGTCCTCGCTTGCTCTATCCAACTTAGGGGCTATGCTGAGGGGTCTCTCGCCTGCCCTGAGGCAAATAACCGCTCAAAATGTCAGGTCAAGCTAAGTAGAGTTCCTGGGTTTTCACGTCCTCCCTCTTTTAATCCCGGGTTTCTTCGGCGATGTATCTGATCTTTCCACCATGGCTCCATCACACTTCCATATGACAAAGGAAATGTTCCTGCTGCATTGAGTGAACATCATCCCCCCTTGCAGCCTCCCCATTGCCTGCTGTCTCAGTCGAGTGGATGCTTTAGAAACCAAGTCTCGCACGCACGTGGTGCTGGCAACCAAGTCATTGCTCTGGCCTTAAAAGAAAATGCCATAAGATCAAATATGTGAGCTAAATTCAGGGGGGTTAGGGAGTGGGGGAGTTCAGCGTGAGATGAACACCCTGTATAAACGTGGGGGGCTAACATCTGGGCCTAGTTATACATTAGCCACCCCACAGAGAGAACTGTAGGTTGCCATGATGTAACAGGGGGGCAGACTGTGGAGCATATGTTTTTGTGACTAGTCTTTACTGTGTGTTCTTTTGATCATACTAGTATGATACTCAAGGATAAGGCACCATGAGGATGCAGGACAGGAAACCATTTAATTGGAGGAACCACTGAACAGTTAAAAGCTGTCTATGTGTAACGCCTTAAATTACAAGAGAAAATTAAACTGCTGCCTTTGAGAATCAATACAAATAGCTCATGTTCATGGTCTTTCAGGGCTTCTGGAAAGGTGCTGACTGACCTCAATCCCCATGGAAGCCAAAGGGAGTTGAGTGTTCGGCATCATTCAGGATCAGCCCCTAAATAAATCCTAGCAGCAATTCACTTTTCTCCATGTTTGCAGTACATGACATTCTGGACTGTAAGCCAAATTCTCAGCACAGCTCCACTGAGCTCTTTCATTTACTTGACATCAATAGAGCTAGGCCAATTGACAAGCTGAGGAATAGGCCCTGTAAATGTATTTTATCAATGTCTGTGTGTTTGCATTTTGGCTGGGACAGGAAAGCATTTCTTCCCATCTACAGATGATAGTAAACCTCAGCTCCTTCTTTTTAAATATCAAACAGTAAAGTTCTTAAACGACAGTAGAAAAATCAAGATGGAAATTGTTTTCTGTCATCTGACCATAGTTTCTGTTGTTGTCTGAGTCACAAAGATCATCTTTTTTTTTTCTCCACTGGACTGTTTGCCAATAAGGGAGCTCACACATGTATAACATGTGTTTAACACACATCTGAGTGTAACACAGATGTGTTTTCTGAGACTGTTTTCAACCTGTACAAGAGTGTTTAGCTTCTCGGAAAGATTAATAGACTATATACTCTGATGCAACTCATCACAGGCCAAAAACATCAGCAGCCCCTTTTCCTACTTAACCACAATAAAATCCAGTAGAAGTATCAAACCAGAGCCCTCTTTTGTTGTTGGTTTTTTCTGGTAATAAAGACTAAAGGCTTAAGAATTTCAACTTCCTTTGCCTTTCTTGTGTCTTTTGGGGTTTTTTTTTAAATGTCCTCTAGTCCAGTTCTTCTCAAAGCCGGTCCGCCACTTGTTCAGGGAAAGCTCCTGGTGGGCCGGGCCGGCTTGTTTACCTGCCGCATCTGCAGGTTTGGCCGATCGCGGCTCCCACT